ATGCTACTTTAGCCACGGGAGAGAAAGTATCACTATAATCAAGCCCAAAAATCTGAGTATATCCTTTTGCAACAAGACGAGCCTTAAGCCGATCAATCTGGCCATCCAGGCCGACTTTGACTGCATAAACCCAACGACAACCAACAGTAGACTTACCTGCAGGAAGAGGAACAAGCTCCCAAGTGTCACTCGCATGTAAAGCAGACATCTCGTCAATCATAGCATGTCGCCATCCTGGATGAGATAGTGCCTCACCTGTAGACTTAGGGATAGAAACAGTGGACAAAGAAGATATAAAAGCATAATGTGGTGACGACAGACGATGATAACTTAAACCGACATAGTGACATGCCTAACTTTATACATGTTTTTAATGATAAAATTGTACATGTTATCTCCACATCATGTACTGTAACATCTCCAAGAACAAAGAGAGATCCTAGTGCAAAGAAAACTAGGTTAAAGAAGTTAAAATTCCAAAAGAATTGGGAGACTTACAAGAAATTCCCTTTCCTTTGTCTCTTGATCCTAAAATTAGGCATCTGGATTTGATCCATCCTTGAGCAACCTCTAGCATCCCTTGGAAGGTCTTTCTAGTTATAGAAAAAAACCTTGTATGCGTGCTTTTGTGAGTTAAACCACTTTAGTAAAGGGTTATATCAACTCACCTCAAAACTCCTTGAGCCAATACACATGCCCCAGTCCAATTTATACCCGTCAAATAATTAATTCTACAGAACCAGTGCATTTTAATTAATTTTAAAGTTTTACACCTAAACATGAAATTTAATTTTGATACAGAGAAAGAAGGAAATTAACTATTCAATTCTTACCTACCACTACTTTAGGATAACTGACAATAGGGAATTTTATATACCCGAGTTCAAGAATTAGTGATTTGTAAAGAACCCTAGAATTTTCGTTGCCTGCATGTGAAAGTTCCGTAGCCTTTGTGCTTGCTGCGTGAACAGAACAATGTTTTGTTTCTCTATTTTGAATTAGGCTTTTTAGCCTTTCGCCTGTGAATGAACAGAGGTTTGTTTGATGCCTTTTGTGTGTGTGTGAGAAACAAAATGCTTTTTGTTTTCTTTAAGGCATTAAGCCCTTTGTTTTCCTTTCAATACCCACTTTATGGGTTAGTCACGTGACTCCCTTTTTTTAATTTTATTGCCTTTTTTTTTTGACTTAACTAGTATTTAATTATATCCATTGTTAAAAATTAATTATATCAAAATTATTAATATTTTCCTAATTATATATTCAATTATTTATAAATAGAGAAGTAACTCAAAAGTAAATCACAAGGGTTTAAATCCGTAATAGAAGTATAATTTAAGGAAAAAATAATTTAAATTCTATATTTAGCGTGTCTTGAAACTTTTATAGATTTGAGGAGTGTTACAATAGTAGATGATTTAGTGTATAGAGTTTAGCTTATACACGAAAGATGAAATCATCGATTCTTATAAGTATAAAGATCATGTTAACATTTGGAACAGATTCGTAAAACGGTATAATTGAATTTATACGTGGTTTCTAGACAAGTGAATTAATTTGATCCTGAAATAATATAACAATTGAAGAAATGTATAATACTTAACCTTGAAATATAGATGAAACAGCAGAGATGACAGTTCCGAAAACAAAGCTTCCGAGCACAGCAATGATGAGATCAAAAAGCAAGTAAATGAAATTATATTAAGCTTTGTATAGAATACAATGTAAGTTTAGCCAAAAAATTCGTGTCTTTTACAATGGTAACTGAGCTCACTATTTATAGCTATGTCTAGGAAAAAAAGGTCCTAGGATCGTGCCCTCCTTTAATGTCAATTATGAAGGTCATTGATGAAGATGTGATGGTGAACATAAATGCCAAATTATTTGTAAGGACTGTCGCTCTTAATACTGCAGAATATTCCTTAGTAAATGTTACCGGGCGCAGAGCATTTAATACACCTTTTTGAACGTTATACTTTCTGGTGACAAGTAGAGTGATTGCGTTCGATCCTTAGCCATCCCATCTTGGATTTCACGTGTCCTCCTTTGCCGTGAGGGAATTAAGAACATGGCAGATGTTTAAAATATAACCAGTGTTCGCAAAATATTTGAAAAATAGCCCGTNAAATATTTGAAAAATAGCCCGCTTATTAAATTTGCTAAATTGGGTAATTTTCTAAGCATATTTTCTAATTTGGTATGCCATCTTGTCTGGTTCAAATAATTTTTCTAGCTTGAGGAATCTATGACTTTGTCTTTGCATTTAACAAATACAGCTTAATTAACTTGTTAGTTGATTTTTCAGCTAATCTAGAATTGAAAAAATAATAATGTGCAGTCGAGATCATGAGTTGAAAAATAATTTGAAGTTGTAACTAACTTCAAATTAGCCTCTATGTTTCCATGTTAGGTTATACTAACTTAGGAATTAGAACATTTGGTCTTAGGTTTTCATAGATACTTAGAATGCTAAGTTTGGTATAAGAATTTAAGTCAAATCATTATTCCATTTATGCAGTCCCTCTTGACAAACTGAAGCTAGCATATTATTCTTGTGGATTAGTAGCAGTGCATTATCATAAATGCCCACCAGATTAGAGATAAGTTTCTATATTCTTCTCTTGCTTGTTTCCTACAAGGTTCATGCTGAGGTCTACCCATGCTCAGCTGTGGCACAGCACAAGTGAAAACTGGTTGGTTTGCTCTTCTTTGACCACAAACATTGCAGGGCCTACGACTTAACATGAAATAAAGGTTTCAGTGACAATATTCTATGGCGACCTACTTAATCGCCACCAGTAATTGCGTATATGACATGATTGAGTAGCAACCTACCTTAGATCGATTTTGTGAAGCATTTATTTACTTTCTGTGGCGAGCTTAGTCGCCACAAAATTGCTAATAATAGAACAAACTAGCTTTTGTGGTGATTAAGCTCGCCACAACATAAATTTTAGGTAGGTCGCTACTCAAAACAGCTGACATATAGTTTGTCGCTGAAACTATTACTTATTGTGACAACACAACATTAACTTTTTTTGGCGACTAAAGAGGTCGCCACAGTACGTTTAGGTTGCTACTGAAAACAACGACATATTGTTCGCCACTGAAACTATCACTTATTATGGTGACTCGGCACTTACTTGTGGTGGCGACTAAAGAGGTTTGCCACAGAACGCCATCGTNCTCGGCACTTACTTGTGGTGGCGACTAAAGAGGTTTGCCACAGAACGCCGTCGCTGAAACCCTTGTTTCCTGTCGTATTTCTTATCGGTTAATGAATCTGGAGAAATATTCTAGTTTTATCCAATTCTCTATTATTTCCAATAGAAATAGTCTAGCTTTATCGCTAATTTAACCATTTTATAAATACTCAACTGCAACACTAGTTGGAAGCATAAGACTAGGTTTGGTCAAAAGAACCAACTTGTATGTTGAGTCATCGCTTTAGCACTATATATGATCAGATTTTGTCTAAATTTCTCAGGATATATATGCCATCATAGATTCGAAATTTCATGAATGATGATCAGTCATTGGAATGCTGACTACAACTTGTTGATTTGACATCAATAAATGGATCCATGTGATCCCTAGCTAAACCATTTTCAAGAAGATGATGTTTCTTGGATCTGTCCTTTGTTGTGAAAATCAGTCCGGACTTCTGCTTATAGACATAATTTCATTGTCTAAATAGTTTGATAATTAGTTGGAAGGCATAACCATGTGTTAGTTCATGTGCTATTGTCTTTAAACAGTACCACACCAAAACTTAACTACCCAAGTTATCTTTAACTGGTGCCTATAGAAAATGCATATTCAATGCAAATCATTAGGATTCAACATCTTGTCATTGGCCTATATAAACACATACAATGAAGCCTCTACCACCACAGCTCTCAGCAATTTATCTTTCATTCATTATTTGGTCATCTACTATATTGAACTAAACGACTATGGCTATCCGTATGCCTCGTATAATCAAATGCAAAGAGCTTTGTTTTCCTAAAGATAATCCTGAATCAGTAGTTAACATCTNTTGATAATTAATATTATTCAAGTACAAAAAGTAAACCTTTAATATTCTGACAAGGTTTTCCCTAAATTAGATGTGCTGATCGAGAACTCTTCCTGTTACCTTCTCCATGTCTTATTAATCTTGAAGTTGAATGTTCTGCACTCAGTATTAAAGTATAGAGGATCTCTTGGTTTTTTGCTTGATATTTCGTAACATAGAGTATATTTATAGTGCGGTCTTACTTGGATGATGTTACTGCAACTTATTAACGAAATACGTACTTTTTTTATACAGGGCTACAACTGAACATTCAAATAATTACCCTCAAAGCAATAACAAACTGTGAGACGCTCGAGAAATGGGAAATAATCATGTAGTAAATATTACAAAGACCATAAACAACTTACAAAAAGTCTGACAAGAAACAATGAAGTCTTGTAACTTTTGTTGAAAAAAAATGCATATATGGTCTTGTCAGAGTTATAATCATCACATAATCCAAGCATATATGCATTTTTTTTCAACAAAAGTTACAAGACTTCATTGTTTCTTGTCACACTTTTTGTAAGTTGTTTATGGTCTTTGTAATATTTACTACATGATTATTTCCCATTTCTCGAGTGTCTCACAGTTTGTTATTGCTTTGAGGGTAATTATTTGAATGTTCAGTTGTAGCCCTGTATAAAAAAAGTACGTATTTCGTTAATAAGTTGCAGTAACATCATCCAAGTAAGACCGCACTATAAATATACTCTATGTTACGAAATATCAAGCAAAAAACCAAGAGATCCTCTATACTTTAATACTGAGTGCAGAACATTCAACTTCAAGATTAATAAGACATGGAGAAGGTAACAGGAAGAGTTCTCGATCAGCACATCTAATTTAGGGAAAACCTTGTCAGAATATTAAAGGTTTACTTTTTGTACTTGAATAATATTAATTATCAAGTATTGTACAATATCGAACAAAACAAAGATCAAGGAATCATAAAGCTATAAGGTACTCGAGCTTTTTGATCCCTTGAAATCCTTTAAACCTTTGGATTCAACTCTCATTTTTAACATGGAAGCAATATAAGTCTGAACTCTAACCCATTAGACGGGGCATCAATCAAATGATCATTTGAACTTCTAGACCTTACACATGAAATGGAGCTACTAATAATTTTTCTCACTCGCTGCGAACAGAGCATAGAGCTATATAAACGACAGAGGTCTAAAAGTATGTTCGAGGAAACTAACATGTAACCCATGAGATCTATGATTAGAAAGAAAGCTTACATGCTATTAAATTGATAGGCTAAAAATAGAGATATCAACACCGTCCCCGCTACTGCCAAAATAAGCTCGAAACACCAAGTGAGGAAACACACACAGAGATGAGAATAAAATCATATACAATGCATATCCAAAAGAGATAATAAATAAATTATTGATTATTTGATGATATTGAAATGTTTTGAAAAATAGACTGAAAAAATGTGTTTTGCTACGTTTCTATCAAGGCTTATGTACTACTGCTGAATATCATAAGAAACCTACGTATTTTTCCACTTTAAGTATCCGATCTATTGTCTTTGAAACCCTGTTTGGATTCTTTTGCACCCACCCCCTCTCCCCTCCCTGCCACTTCATATCTTTCTTTCTTTTTTTCTTTCT